GGGCGGGGCGGGCCGTGGCCTGTAAGGGCCAGGGCGGGGCTTGGGGCGGCCCAGCCGCTGCCTCCCCTTCGCCCCAGCGCGCTGGTGCTGGCGGTGGCTGCCCAGGAACCCGGCGCGCACGGGTCCCGCTCCAGCCCCAGTCAAAGCCGAAGCTGCAGCCGGCTCCGGGCCGGGGCCATGGGAGCCCCCCGCCGCCCGCGTCATGAGGACGGAGGCGGAGGCAGCGGGGCCGCCGCTCGAACCCGGTCAGTGCTCCTCGAGGGCTCAGCTCTCACTCCGGGGAACAGGGGGGACCCCGCCCTAACGCGGGGCAGGGTCCGGCCGCGCGACCTTGGGCCGACGGCCGCTGCGGCCCGGGCTGTAGAGCTTTGAGCGAAACCTGGCCAGGTGTGCACTCCGCCTTGGCCACCCCACCGCCAGCCCCGGTTTGTTGGGGTTTCCTGATACTCCCTGGGCTGGGACCCCAGGCAGCTCTGATTGCGGTCATGGTGGGAGGGTCCCCGTTGAGAGTCAGGAGCGGCACCTTCCCCAGAAGCGAAAAGTCCTCCTGGGGCTTGGAAGATCCTCTCCCCTCGGGTAGTTAAGGCCTAGAAGGGCTGGGAACTGGCTGGGAGTACAGAGCAATGGGGGAGGGCCTTCCCCTGGCCTTCCAGACTCAGCGTCTTGTCTTGCTACAGTTCTTCACTCTCTAGTTCCTCTAACCCAGGTGGCCTGAGTTCCTTTGGAGCGGAAACACAGACTGACCCGTTCAGTGCGGCGGGCCTCAATTTGCTTTTCTAAGTGGGGTGGGGGAAAGCAGTGATTCCTGCTCTGCTTAAGGCACAGGGTTGATGAGAAAGAGAAAGGGCTGGTAAACTCTAAAGTGAAGTGCCAACACACTGGAGAGGTCAGGAGCACAGGAGACCCCAACCCTAAGGCATTAGTGGGACACTGTGATTGCAGCAAGGAGTAGGGCCCGGGGCTACCCTGGGATTTGCCTGCCTACTCCTCCAATTACCTAACTCTGTGATCTTGGATCAGACACTTGCCTTTCCTGAGCCTCTGTGGAGTAGTGACTCACGTTTACAAGGAGCTTTCTGTGGGCAGGCACTGTGCTAAGTTGTTTACATGCAGAGCCTCGTTAATGCTTATAATGACAAAGTCGGTTACCAATGTTATTTGCAGTTTTGCAGATGAGCAGACTGAGGCCGAGAGGGGTTAAGTATTCAGGGCCAGTGAGCTGTCTTCCTTCCTTGGCAACAGCTGCCAACTGAAGCCAGGCCAGCACCTTCCAGGCAGACCCTAGCTCTCAGGTGGGACAGTCCCTTGGCTCCAGGCATCAACATCTGGCAGCAGCTTTGGGCTTGGAAGGCCTCGCCTACTCTTATCACCCCCCACAGGAGTTCCCTGTGTCCCTCTTGGCTGACCTGCTTGTGCCCAGGATTCGGGATGGCCATGTGGGGACGTTTAGCCACATTGGGGGTGGGGTAAGGATAAAAGAGTTAGAGATCAAGGCAAGAAGAGGAGGGGCAGCAGAGTTCCCGAGGGCCCTAGAGAGCCGCCGACCTCTGCGACGTTTACAGCTTGGGCATAGGGGAGGCACAGGAAGAGTTAAAGCCTGGCCAAAGATGGCCCAGCTAGCCAGTGTCAGAGCCCAGGCCACAGAGCAAGGAGGGAGCTGTGAACAGAGGGGCACAGTCTGGAAGCCTGGGGGAAAGGGGAGTATTGTGGTGATACGTAGGCCTGGGTATCTTGAGGGATAAGGTCTTTTTGAAAAAAACGCCTTCCATTCGCGATTCAAGCATGTCTGTGTGCCTGCTGTGGTCTGAGGGTTGGGAGGAGGCAAATGTTGTCTGCCTGCCACTGAGGAATTCCCAGTCTGTCCAGTGGGGAAGTTACATACCATCTCCAATCCTCCATATAGAGGGCCTCAGGGAGGGAGAGAGACCAGAGCATTTGGATGGGAGACCACCTTTCGGACTAAGGGATATGCAAGAGCAAAGGCTGGGGAGTAAACAGCCCATGTAGAGAAAAACAAAAAGGCAGTTTAAAGCCACAGTGAGGGGTTCTTGAAGAGGTAGGCACACACCACAAGGGGACAGCACACTGCATAGGCTTCTCCCTCCACTCAGCCTGTTGGGGGATTACTTAAGGATGTGAACACCTGGAGGGCAGGGCTTGGTCTCAGTTACCTATAACGTCCCCAGAGCCTGGCACACAGTGGTGCTTAATAAGTTCGTTTTTTTTTCCAGCAAAGGTTTGAGTTACTACTAAGCATTAAGCACTGGGAATAACAGTGAACAAGAGTAGCACATTCTCTGCCCTTAGGAAGCTTACAGCCTAGTGGGGAGACAGGATAGCTTTATTTTATTTTTCTTGTTTTTGTACTTTTGCTAAGTACTGTGAAGGAAACAGGGAAATACTGTGAAGAAGAGCCCCTTCTCCCAAAGGTACAGTCAGAAAACGCCTCTTATGGGAGGAGACTTTGAGCTGGGACCTGAATGACAAAAAGGGGAAGACTTGAGTACTGAGGGTAAGAGAGTTCCAGAGCTGCACATATAAAGGTCCTGGGGTGAGGGCCAAGGTGAAGCGAGTGGGCGGGCCCTACAGGCCTTAGTAAGAGATAAGAACGTTATTCTAAGAGCAGTGGGAGACTGGAAGGGATCCTTCCAGCTGCTGTGTACAGAAACAGGAGAGGAGCTGGGGGTAGAAATTGGGGCAGAGGACAGGCAGAAGTCAGGCAGGATGGAGCCCTGGGGGCTGAATCCATGGCAGTGGGTGGAGGGGAATATTAGAAGGCCTCTAGTCATGGCCTGGGTTCTTTTTAGAGCCTCCTGGGGTCGGGGAAGGAGGGAGCAAACGCTGAGCCTGCCTGGTCTCAGTGTGCCAGGCCCCAGCTGGATGGAGGTCAGGGCTCACAGTAGCGCCTGTGAAGGGCTTCGCACACATTCTTGCCCCAAGTGCCCACAGCACCCTGCGGGCTGGTGTCTGTGAGAAAGGAGCACGTACCGAGAGGCCTGCACTCACCCGTGCCATCCTGCCTTCCAAGGGCCCCGCAGGTGAGGCATAGGAGGAGAGAGGACAGTACAGTGCAGCAAAGGAGCAGTCACGGGTCCCTGCCTCCTGGGAATGCGTGACAGCCCAGCAGGGCACAGATGAGCTCGATGCGAGGGTCTCCTCCTGTGAGCCAAAGCATGAACTCTGGCCCGGCAGAGCACAGATTAGGGAAGGGGCGCGGCCAGCCTGGGATCAGGGAAGGCTCCAAAAGTGCTGGCATCTGAGCCAGGCCTTGAGAGCCGGGGAGTGTTTAGACATGGAGAGTAGGAGCTTGGGACCCACTCCAGGCAAGAGGCTGCCTAGACAAGACCAGCAGGTTGAAAGGCCAGGACAGACTCCAGGATTCATGGGTGGCCCTCCTGGTTGGTGCACGCGGAGGAGGCCAGGGCAGCTCTGCACAGACCAGTCATGGGTTCAGGAGAGTCCCCGGGAGACCCCTGAGGCAGGGAAACCACATGGGCTGAAATGGCGTCCTAAGTGAACAGAGTGCTCACAGCCAGAGAGAAATCCTTCCAGTTCTTTAGACTCTAAGCTCTGTCCAAATTCACAGGATCCCAGGGCAGGAGGGTCCTGCAGGCCGTGTGCCAGCTTGCCTGCCGCAGCCCTGCCTGGCGCTCCCTGGCTCTCCTCTCTAAGGCATACACCCCCACTTCCCCTATCCTGGCCCCTTGTTTTTCTCCTACGCTGCTTGTTTTTGCTGTCCACGAGGGCAGGGACCTGTCTATGTCACTCACAACCGTCTCTGGTTCACATGCCAGGCACTTACTAGGCTCTTGGGAATTATTTGTTGATTGAACAACTGAATCAGACCAAAGTCCCTACTTTAGAGATGGCCAGACTCTGTCCAGCATGAGGGAGTCAGTGGCCTAGCCCACAGCCGGCCAGTGGCAGAGCCAGGGCTGGAATGCCAGAATGCCTAGATCGGGCCCTTTCTGCTCCGCCCAGGGTAGCGTTCCACATGCAGACACGTGACAGTCCCCTCCTTGTAGCCCTGGGGGCTGTGGAGTCAGGGGCCTCAGGAATTCAGACATGAATATCTGCTGAGTGCCTTCCGGCTACCGCCCTGTCCCTGCCTCCTCAGAGCGCCCATCACAGAGAGGGCTCTGGAGAGGGGCCTGTGGGGCTGGGAATGCACGGAGTGGGGGGCCAGGCACAACAGGGGCCGTCATGGAGAAGTGACGTCCGTGGACAGGAGTTAGCTGGTGAGGATGCGGGGAGGCGAGGAAGCAGAGGGTGCCGGAGCAGCAGCCATGAAGGCCTTGTCCTGGGAGGTATGGGAGCCAGCCCACTGGAGGGTTTTGTGTAGGGCTGGCCTGCTCTGACTGGCATTTCGGGGAGATCACTGCCGTGGTGAGGAGAATGGATTGGGGGCCCTTTTGTAAGGCTGTGCACTGGTCCCTGAATGGCCCCTGCAGGATCTGGGCAGCAGCTGATTATGGTGGGAGTGGCAGTGGTGGGCCCTACACCAGGGTCTGTGACCTCCGTGTGTTTCCCTGCAGGGGACTTTGTGCAGCTGCCCGTGCCCATTATCCAGCAGCTCTACCACTGGGACTGTGGCCTGGCCTGCTCCAGGATGGTGCTGCGGTGAGTGGACAGGCCTTAGCCCTCCCAGTCCACAGCACCTGCTCTTGCGGGGGGGCACACAGGGAGAGACCTGGGTGGGATTCATCATCCATGTGGCCCTCCTCTGTTGGGGCTCGTGGGAGGCCCAGCTTCCATCCAGGCTCCATCCCACCTGCAAAAGCAAGCAATGGTGAACCAGGCCTTCCAAGTCTGCGTCCTGAGAAAGCCAGGGCTCTGGAATGGCCAGGAAGTCCCAGGTGCCCGGGCCTGGCCCACAGAGTGACCCCATGATTGAGATGTGGTGTCCTCCCCACTCCTGGCCTTGGACTCTTGGGAGACTGAGTCACTAGGGAGCTGACCGCTGAGCTGAGGCTGCGTGAATATCACAAGAACCTTGACCACTGGGGCATGGAGGGACCATAGCCATCTCCTTGTCACAGAGTTTTCAGGCAGCAGCCTAGAACACCAGGGCAGCCTCTCCCTTACCCATTTTACCTCCTGGAATTCCAGGCAAGATAGGGTTCAAGAAAAGGATTCTGTGCCTAAAACTTAGAAAACCACTGATGTGGTCCAAGCACTTAGATGGTCCTAGAGATGAAGCTGGCAAGGCCAGAGAGGATGGCAAGACTTGACCAAACTCACAGCCAGCAAGAGAGGTCAGACGCAGAATCCATGGCCTGGACTCCGTGGCCGGCGCAGTGCCCCCAGCAGCATCGGGTTGTGCCTGGCAGGGTCTGGGCAGGACGTAGGAGTTCATGACAAAGGACAGAGCCTTACGGGGGCGCAGGAACTCAGACCGTGGCTGGCAGGCCCTTGGGTAGAGCGTGACCCGGGCCAGCTTCCCTGACCTCAGCAGCCCATCTGCCCACAGCTACCTGGGCCAGCTGGACGACAGTGAGTTCGAAAGTGCCCTGCAAGAGCTGCGACTGACTAGGAGCATCTGGACCATCGACCTGGCCTACCTGATGCGCCACTTTGGCGTGAGGCATCGCTTCTGCACCCAGACCCTGGGCGTGGACAAGGGCTACAAGAACCAGGTGAGCGCCGGCCACTGGCCTTCACCAGATGTGGTGATCAGAAGAGGGTGTGGTCCAGACCTCGACACCCAGGTGAGCACGTGGTGTGCAGAGAACGGGAAGCCAAGGCAGACGCGCTAAGGGCAGGACTTATGAGCTGTTGGACCAGATCAGCTTGGGTCCAGCTGCTCAGAGGACCCCAGTGCCGAGCCGGGTCCCTCCTGACACCCCCACCACAGACACCCACCGCCTGCCTTTGACAGCACCTGACGATGCACAGAGGAGCATCCGGGTGACCTTCCTGTGTCCTTCCCTGTGTCCCACCATGAGCCGGGCCAGGCCTCAGAGCACACACTGTCCTCCTCTGCCATCACTCACCAATTTTCTTCCTTCTCATGGGGACAGCTGGCTGCAAGTTGGGTCATTGGTGTTCTGGAAGAAAAAACAATATACTGTCTTTTGTTTCTTTTATTTTTCTTTTTAAAAAGAATGCCAGGGCTTCCCTGGTGGCGCAGTGGTTGAGAGTCCGCCTGCCGATGCACGGGACGCGGGTTCGTGCCCTGGTCCAGGAAGATCCCACATGCCGCCGAGCGGCTGGGCCCGTGAGCTGTGGCTGCTGAGCCTGCGTGTCCAGAGCCTGTGCTCCGCAACGGGAGTGGCCACAACAGTGAGAGGCCCGCGTACCGCAAAAAAATAAATAAATAAAAAATAAAAATAAAAAGAATGCCAGCATAGCCTTGCCCATACCCCAGTGCATTTTCCCACCCTACACAACTGGAGCTGGTCTCACCTGCCTCCCGCAGGGTGGATCACAGCCCACGGTCCAAACTTCGGCAGAGCAGAGTCGCTACCGGCCTCGCTGGCAAGAGGGTTGTCGCATGGTGGCCAGTGCCCATCGACCTAACTCTCCTTTGAACCTTCGAGGGCAGGGGAAGAAGTCTCACAGGTCTGGTTTGGTCAGCATGGCCGCGAGGCAGAGGAAAGGGCCTAAGAGCAGGGTATTTTCTGCCTCTCCCACAGGGGCTCTGGCCCCCTTAAGACCCCTGCACCAAACAGAGATTGTTCCTTGCTAACATATACTGGCTGAGCCTAGTGGTGGCTAGATATCCAGGGGCCTCAGCTGGCCTGTTTGCTCATTTACTCCAGACACCTGCCCATCAGGGTACACAAACCCAGGGGCGACTAACCTTCCTCAGGGTGCCAGCCTGAGCCTGCTGCCCACCCATCTCCTGAGCATCCTCCTCATTCTCTGTGTGGTCCTGCACTCCCGGACAGACATAGCCTTCCACCGAGGCATGCTGCCTGTGCTGTCCCGCTGCAGGCTGGGCTCCTCTGCTAACTCCAGAAGGTGCTGTTTACTTCATCCAAGTGGGGTGAGGGCAGTGGCCTCTCCAACTGCCCTTCTCTCTTCAGTCCTTCTACAGGAAGCACTTCGACACAGAGGAGACCCGGGTGAACCAGCTGTTTGCACAAGCGAAGGCCTGCAAGGTGCTGGTGGAGAAGTGGTGAGTCCACCGCACCCCTGCCCTTCCTTGTGCACCTGCTCACCCACAGACTTGCAGGTTGGGGGGAGGCCTCAGGAAAGGCTGGGGAGACAGGCAGAACTGGGGTTTCCTACCCAGCTGGCCCTGGGCACTGACTGACTTGCCCCCCCTCCCCAGGCCTTAGTTTTTCCATCCATAAAATAGGGACAAGTGGAGCTACGTGACCTGCTATACACAAAACTCTGGCCTTGGGTAGATCCTGAGTGGGGGATGGAGGGACAGGTGAGCAAGACAGACTCCAGCCAGCCCTCGGGCTGCTCACAGAATGGTGGCATGGGACAGAACACAGGGACCCTAATAAAGGGGTGACGGCCTGGGAAGCATGCTGGCACGGTGACGGAGGGTGACAGGGACAGCCCAGGGTGACACTGTCTAAGGAGGCCTGGCTGCCAGATCTCCCCACGAGCTTGACCTTATGTGGATCCCCCTTCTCAATCTACACGTGGGGGCAGGACTCAGGAGACCCCACGAGTGACTTGGCCAGATGCGAACCATTTCTTTCCCTGGGTTCCCTGTAGGTAATGCACCCAGGCCTGCTGGCTCAGACCTGGGCTGGGCCCCCCAGACCTCCCTTGGGTCTCCTATTCCCCCCAGATTTCTGTTTTCATTGTAACATAACCTAGGCACACAAAAGCCCACTGGGAAACGGGGAAAATGTCTCCACACATCCTTGGGCCCCGTGAACACATGTTGGAGGGAGAGGCAGCCGATGTGTGCTTAGTGGCACTTGACAGGTGCTGCCTTGTTGAGTGGAGAGCTGGGGCTGTCCCCGTCCCCCAGGTGAGGAAACTGATGGGAAAAACTGTGAGCCACGACAGCCACCCCAACTCAGCTGTGCTGTGACTCGAACCTGGGACCTGAACCCTCAGGGTCCCATGGAGTCTGCCCTTTTCCTTCCAGCCCAGCACCTGCTTTTCCCGGTAGCTGAAATCCCGCTCTGGTACATACCGTTGGCAACTCAGCCAGCTGTTTCATTTCAAAGACCAAATGGAAAAGTGGCATGTTTCCCTGGGCCAAGGCAACAGACCAGACGGTCCTGTGACTCAGCGTGGCTGGAGTTGGGCCAGGCCATGAGGTGCTAATGTGTGCTCCTGAGGATCTTGTAGGGATGGAGGGCCCAGAGTGGGTGAGCGTCCCCCCGTGAAGATGGTGGGGCCCCAGGCGTAGAGGACCCTTGCAGCCCTTCTCCCCTCTGGGTCTTACTTGGACTTGCTTCCTTCTGGGGGCATTGGAGGGGGGCTGTGCCTAAGAGTCTGGAGCAGCTGGCTGAACTGAGGGTTCCCCTCAACATGTTGCTGACCAGTCCTTCCTGGGCAGCCCCTTCTGCCACGAGGAGCCTTAGAGAAAAAGAAAAATTACCCTTTCAGAGAAGCACTTGGTTTTGAAACTGGTGAAGGCGTGCTTGGCTCAGATTTTGGGAAGCAAATTAAACCAACAGTTTACATTAATCACGCATCATTTAGGGTAAAAGACCAAGGTGGGGGGTGCTTGTACAAAAGAATTCACTAACCAGGTCAAGAGGTGGGGTGCTGCTCCAGTGGCCCTTGATGGGGGTCTGTCTGGAGCTGAACTGTCACCCTGTGAAGGGCCTGATGGGTCCAGCTTGTCCTGGGCACACTCAGAGCCCTCCAACCCTGGTCCCATGCTTGGCCCCCATCTGAGCCTGGGCCACCGTAACAAAGCAGGACATTCCCACCTGCAAGGAGCTCAGGGCAGACACGAGCCATGTCCCCAAGCTTTGTGACACAGGACAGGACGGGTCCAAGTGGGGGTCCACTCGAGAGACGGGGAATGGAGCCCGGCAGCGCCAGCTGACCCTCCTCCTGCCCACAGCACAGTGAGCGTGCAGGACATCCAGGCCCACCTGGCACAGGGCCACGTGGCCATCGTGCTGGTGAACTCAGGCGTGCTGCACTGCGACCTCTGCTCCAGCCCCGTCAAGTACTGCTGCTTTGCCCCCAGTGGCCACCGCTGCTTTTGCCGCACCCCAGACTACCAGGGCCATTTCATAGTGCTGCGCGGCTACAACCGGGCCGCTGGCTGCATCTTCTACAACAACCCGGCCTATGCTGACCGTAAGTGTGGCAGGCGCGAATCGTGGGCGGGACGGCCCTTGGCCCCCAGGTCTCCCGTTCAGCCTGGTGTGGCCAAGACCTACCTCAGTGCCTTCTCCCCAGAGCCCCTCCTCCCCCTGGACTCCCTCATCCTTGCCACCCCTCTGGCCATGCAGGAAACCAGCCACAGCTTGGGGCTGTGCCAGCCTCCATACCCCCATCATCACAGGCCAGCCTCTCTCCCTCCCACTGCGCCAGCCCCCTGCCACCTCCCGGGGCCCACCCCGCTGTCTTAGCTGCACAGGCCGCAGTTTCCATCTCCCCCAGGCCAGCCCTCCGAGGACAGCCAGCACACTTGCCAGAAAGGAAAGTCTGCCCAGCCCCGGCCCCAGCCCTGGCTCCAGAACCCCCCAGGGCTCCCATGGCCCTGGGGATGGGGAAGGACCATCCTGACTCACAACAGACTTGTCCCGTGCGACCTCGCGCGTGTTTCTTCCCCTCTCTGGGCCTCACTTTCTCCATCTGCTGAACTGGGGAAAGGTCAGAGAACAAGCTCACAAAGGCTACAATAGGCAAGGAGGGCTTCCTGAGCAGTGAGGGGCAGCCAGGCATGTGGGATGTGGCTTCCCTGGGCACTAGTCAGGCAGGTGCTCGCCTCACCCGCTGACCCTGCTCTGCCCCTCATGCCCCAGCAGG